ACTGACAACTTAGTGGGGATCAGTATAATATCTCAATATGGCAAGTATTTGAGTGTGAAAAAAAAAATTAGAATGCAATCAGTTTTAAAATTGAGCTTACCATTTAATCAGCAATGCATTAAAATTGATTTAAAGAGTTTAAAAGAACCAAACTGGGATGAAGTGACAGAGGAGGAAAAGTTATATATGTATAAATATAGAATTGATGTTAAAGAGGATGATGTTAATAATTGTAGAGAAGTTCTACCTGTAATGCTATACTTAGCAGGTTATTGCTGTAATACAGATTTAGGAAAATTAAATGCAGTAGTTGCAAAGATTTCATATCTGGAAGTGTAAGAGATAATGTGGAAGAAATACCTGAAATAAGCAGCTATTTCAGGGGATTAATAGAGGTTCTCTCTTATATCCTAATGATAAAACTATAAATTTTGTTCTGTATAATTATGTAGTCATTGATAAACTTATAAAAAAATCATTCTTTTCTTCATTCAGTAAATCAAAGAAAAATAGCCATGCATATAACATTGAATGTTTTGGCAGATTATGAGCTTCTTTTTGATGTTGACACTTGTGATGAGGGTCCCAATATAGAAAAACTACAAAGAATGTTTTTCTGGAGCTCTACAAATGCTCTTTTAAATAATTTTTGTTTTAGGGAAAATAATAATATTACAAGTAACAAGTTAAGCAAAAAAAAAAAAAGAAAAGAAAACTTCAAACATTCAGCTAAATTTTGTATCAGTAACCTATATTTCTGAAAGTATTATTTGATTTTTAAATCTATTCATTGTTTGTATCTAATTTATTTGCTTATTTGTATTTATTTGTTTAATTGTTTTATTTATTCATCATAATTATTTTATTTATTCATCATTTAATTATAATTTGTTTATTTAATTATTGTTTGTTCCCTAATTCATAATTCAGCTGTTACTGTATTTGAGTAATAATCTCTTAATGATTACAAAAATTGTAACTTTACAGAATAATTATTAAAATTGAAATAAAAACATGCAAATTAAAACAATGCTGATTATGATTTATAAAAAATTTTCAAATGTGAAACAATTAAAATCATGAACGAATTTCAGTCTTAAAATTGTCTGTCTGTAACCTACTTTAGTTTCTATAAGTATTATTTGAATTTTAAATCTCTTTTTTGTATCAAATTTATTTACTTTCTTGTATTTAGTTTATTTGTTTCTTATTTATCATTTACTTGTAATTTGCTCGTTTGTTTGTTTCTTAATTGAGTTGTTGCTGTAGTGTAAGAATAATAATCATTAAATACTTACGATATTAGTAACTTTACAGAATCTTAATTATTAATAAAATTAAGATTATGTTTGTGTGTGTGTGTCTGCACGTTTGTAGATTGGATCGGATTTCCTACATTTTTCATGCAAATTAAAACAAACTTCATTATTATTTTAAAATTGTTTTCAAATGGTTAAAACAAATAAAATTGGAAAAACAAAATTGTTTTTGCAAAAATCAATTTGAAAACATGATAAAACATTCTTTTCTTTAACAAAAGAGGGACAACTATTTTTCGAGTTATACTTATTATAGAACCCAGGTTGTTTGTGTGTGTGTGTTCGTTTATATATGGGATTGGATTTCCTAAATTTTGAAAAATAAATTTCAACAAAAGTTCACTTTTTTGGCAGGTAGTGTTTCTTATTGTCTTTATTAGTTTTTTTTTTTTTTTTACATTCAGAATGCTTTAAAATTCCATTTCACAAGACAATTGTTTATAATAAAATTCTATTCAATCGATTGAACTAATTAACGATTGAAAACAATTGTCTTTGAGTTTGAATTTTGAAATTCAAAAAAAAAAAAAAAATAAATAAATAAAAAATAAAAACTAATTAATACATGCGTGCACATCAAGTTTTAAACAATAATCTTTGTCAATTTTATTTTTCAGTCTTTATGATGGTCAATACTTGATCTATCTCCTGTTACATCCCTGGCAACGCCAGGCTCTACTACTTTTACTAAATTTAAAATTAAGAACATGCAAAAAAACAATACTGATTATGATTTTAAAAATGTTTTCAAATTTGAAACAAATAAAATAATCAATGAATTTCAGTCTTTAAAATTTAATGAAATGTAAGATGATGTTTAATTTCTTTACTTTAACAAAACATTCAGCAACAATATTTTTTTTTCTTATCAGTTATTTTTTTTTTAAATTAATATGAAATAAATTTCTGTATAAAATCCAATTCTGTTTCTTTCTTTTATAAATGTATTTTTAAAAAGTTTTCTAAAACCATTTTTTTTTCTTACAATTTTTTGTTACATTATGATTACTGTCTGTTTCACTGCATGGACTACATTTGTGATGTCACGTCACTATTGAGCAGGCCTTCTATATCGGTGGTCACGGCTTAGCATGGCATCTCATTGACGTAGATTTGGATGACCGGCTGCGCCTCGTTTATACGTTGTCTGAGGAAGAGATCGGCGCCATCTTGTCCCCGGCTACTTGTTTCCATGTCTTTCTGTTACTCATTTTTACGAATATATAATAATGTCTGTAATATATTTTATTCATAAAAGCAATTAAAAGTTTTTCTAATTTTTTAAAAAAAAAATGTCTTATTGTATTTAAGACCAGCTTTTCTACATCTGTGGTTCCTTTTTGACCAAAAAATTTGATTTCAATTTTGAGGACTTAATATATAAACAAGCGATATATGCATAATAGAATGTGGGGGTTAACATGTATATATATATTATATGTTCTTTTTTATAGATACAAATATTTAAGTAAATGTTCTGTTTATAATAAACAGTATTAACAACATTTATTTTCATAGAAAATATGCGTCCTCTGACAGGAATCGAACCTGTATCCTATGTAACCTGTGTGACCTTATTTACATTATTTGGACTATTGTCCTCATCTTTGTCGCCATATTTATCACAACATTTCGGCCGTTGTACGCTCCGGCCTTCTTCAGGTGGTTGGATTTTCTGGGGTAGATAGTTCTAGTTCCACGTGCCATGTTTGATGGATGTCAGTTATTTTCCTCTGAAAGTTCTCTACTGCCTTAACCGGGTGAACTCAATAGTTCACATGGTCCAGTAGAACCTGAACATCTTCCTGGTGTGACCAGAGTATGAAGGTGTCATCTATGTACCTTAACCATATAGTTGGCTTTAGAGATATAGATTCTAATGCCATTTCCTCAAAGTATTCCATGTATATATTCGCCATTGCTGGTGATAATGGGTGATGTACCTTGTGCGCCACCTTCTGATCTTTCAATCTATTTAATTTTTGCACTTGGCGAGCCTTGATTACATCAAATTCATGTCTGAAGGATTTATCTAGGTCATTTTGGATCCTTCTCTGGTCTTCTTCATTAGTAATTCTGTTGAAGAAATCCTCAAGCGTCTGGGAGATATAAGCTTGTAGTCGATGTTTTATCCAACGATTGTACTGGATTCTTTCTCGGACAAGGGCGTGTCCCGCTTTCTCTGCGACCCGACGAGCTCTCCTTGAATTGACGGGAAGTCTTGGTGCAAGCCTGAAGGGATGAGTTGTAGGTCTGTGCATCAGTGTAGGAATGTCAGATGGTTCGATATTCGTGCCAGTTTCTGGTAGGATTTTTCAATTTGTCTCCATATTTTTGGTATATCGGGTCCGTACCGATCCTTCTGAGATGAGGTATTATGTACATTATTTACATTATTCGGACTATTGTCCTCGTTTTTGTCGCCATATTTATCACGTTTCAGCCGTTGTACACTCCGGCCTTCTTCAGGTGGTTGGAATTTCGAACTGGGGTAGACTGTTCTAGTTCCACGTGCCATGTTTGATGGATGTCAGTTAGCAGTTATCTCCTGCTAATTTCCCTCTGAAAGTTCTCCACTGCCTTAACCGGGTATTGAACTCGCACTCTTTGGGTCCTGTCACTGGATCTAACCTTTATCCACCATTTTTTTTTTTTTTTTTTTTTTTTACCAGAGCTCATATTGCAACGTTGTTGTTATCATTGCTTTTCTCTAGGACTCCTGAGCCGACCAAGCATAGAAATAAATACAATATGGGAACCAGTAATAAGGAGTGCCAGAGAAAAGAATATATTGCAACAAAGTTGCAATATATATATATATATATATATATATATACAGTGTAACCCGGATATAAGAGACCCGGATATAAGAGAAACCCGGATATAAGAGAGATTTTCTTTGGCCTGTGTTGATGTATATATAATAGACCAAACCCGGATATAAGAGACTTCAACAATTATCTGAGTTTTGAAAGAATTTCCAAATTAATGTATTTTTCATCATAAAAAAAAACTCAAATTTTACGTACAATTTATGATCCTCCGTTGACGCCAGCAGGACAAGATTTTTAACCAAAATTTTGAATGTTCTAAAAAAAGATTAAAATTATATAAAAAATCATTTGATTAATATTAAATTAATAACTTATAATTAATTAATTAAGATTTTCACGATAAATTTTGTTTTTATTGATTTTAATTTTTGAGAATTTTTCCATTATGACATTTTAGAGAATTTTTGGAAGCACTTACGATGAATTATTAAGATGAATTATTAAGATGAATTTTTAAAACGATGAATTATTAAGATGAATTTTTAAAAATGCTTTTCCTTTTTTTTTTCGTAGTATTATCCAGGCAGGTTTTACCTGGCCATCTCTGTGTAGTAGCGATGGACCAGTATTTTTTTTTTAAAAAAACAAAAAAAAATTATGAGATCTACGAGGTGCCGCATATTTGTCGCATTATTTGTAATATAATTACTACATTAATACTATATTATTAATAATCTAATATAATTTTATATCGTTTATATCTTAACTTGATATATTTGATATAACAAAATTTAAAAAGCGTTTTTTTTTTCATTTGAGGTCATAGATAGATTCGAGAACGAGGTTTTTTGTAGTTGCTTAGCAACTTACTATACATAATAAACAGTAACTTTCTTTTGGGTGCGAAATGTCGAGAAAAGATGAAACATCCCCTGCTGACGAATTAGTAACATCAAAGAGAGTATTTATAAATCACGTTGACCAATATAATGGGCTGAATATTTCAAAGGTTAGTAGCAGTAAGCAAGCAATCTGAAACCCTTTTCTAAAAACAATAATTTTAAAAATTGAATTTTCTCTTAAAAATGATAGCCTCCTTTTGTCACTTGTCTTACTCTTGTCATAACTTACCGTAAAATATTGAATGACAATGTTTAATTACGGAAACATTACTACTTTAAATTATTAAATGGTGAAATTTCTTCTAAAAGGTCTCTCTAGTTACTTTACTTCTAAAAAATATACACACACGCACGCAAACATTTCTTATATTTTTTCTTTCTTATCTTAAAAGAAATGTAAACTGTCTAAAATCAGTAATTGGAGACTGAACATAATATTCTCAAAAATTTGAATAATTTCTTTTATTTGGAATTTTAAGTGTCAGCAATTGTGATAACTAACACTAACACTTATTTCGAGCAATCCAAAGGAATCCATTCAGAAAAGAAAAAGATCTTTTGCCTTTACAAAATACACACACGCGCGTGTTTGTACATTCACTACATTCAAAAAATCAAAAGAATTTTTTGAACATATTGTTGTTTGTTATTGGTGGTGGTAGTAAGTATTAGTCTGGCAAATTTTCATCAGAATAAACAGAAAATTTATTTAAGAACTTTTTATAGTGGAAAAGGAAAATTAATATAAGTTTTTTACTTTTTTTATATTCAATTTTAAATTTTATTTTTAAAAATTCAAGGTAATCTCTGTGCAAGATAAATCGAATAAATGTCAGTCAGTCAGGCGTTCTTTTTCAAGGTAGATTTTTTCCCGCAGTAGGTTGCCATTTCTTTCTGTGGTAGACCAGTTGCCATCCAAGGCAGACTAGTTGTCATCCAAGGCAAGAACCTGGGGTCTGTCCTGCTATATAGATGAGGGGGTGGAGAAAGAAGAGGATTCATACCTTTCCCAAGTATATTAGCATGTAAGTGACATAATGGATTCTACTGGAATTCGAACTTGGCTCTCTGATTCCTCAATCCAAGCTGAATAAATGTACACAAGTAAATATTTAAAATCAGTAATATGAACAATTATTTATGTCAGTTGTTTGTTGTGTCATTTTGTAATTATAAGCTTGGATTAATCAAGCATGGCATCACAAATGTTGTGTTTCTATTGAGAATTGAATTCACTAGAGTAGTTATGGTCTATTATTAGATTAATTTGATAACAACAACTGCATAATGACATACCTTTCTTGACATTTACTCTAATCCAACAGTAGCTACAGTACAAAAAAACTAAGTTACACTACTACAGCCAGTGGGGGGTTTACTATTATGCTTAGGTGTGCTTAAGCACAGGCCTGTAGTGGACTGTGGGTTTACATGTTGTTAAATTAGGAACATGTGTGTAACTCCTGATAGAAGAGAGTCCACTACAAGTATATGGCAGACTCAGAGATTAAATCCACCATAAAGAAAACAAACAAGACCGATATATATATATATATATACAAACAAGTATATAATATATATATATATATATATATATACAAACAAGTATATAACAATAAAATTTACAATGGATAAAGACATTAACATTTGTGTTTGTGCATTAACGTAAAGAGTTCATATTTTGATGAATGTTCATACGTGTGTGTATGTGTGTGTGTATTATACGGTGTCTTCCCACAAGTGAGCAAAACGTAAATCTCTGCGAGAGATCACATCTTTTAAATGTGTCCCCTGAAATGCAAAGTAAAAACAGAATGAGGCAAGTAATCGCCCAGTATTTATAGTGTAGGGAGAGCGTGCCCTAGTGAACAATTAGGAAACTAAAGAGGAGTTAACTCTGACAGGCCTCTGTTGGCCAGGGGGTCCACATCTTCCTTCCAAAAGATTTTCAAAATTCTGCTGAAATACATTAAAATATATCTCCATCAATTCAGCGTAAGCTTTTGCACATATTAGTAACCTGAAATCAGGTTATCTACTTAAACTTTAACAGATTTAAAAGCTACTCCATATGTGTAATTTGTGAATGGTGAAAACAATAGTAGTTTTTAACAAGAAAAGTTAGTCATTCAATATCAGAAAAGACATTGAATGATTCAGCATAAAATTTTACACAATATAACATTAAAAATATTATTGCATTGGTGAAACTCTCAAGTTTAGTGGCTAGGAGCATTCAATAATAAATTCAGTCTGCCATGTGTGATGTTTTCCTGTTGCCTAACATTTAAAGCCAATCACATCATTTGGCTTTGAATATTCAAAACAAACAATTTCAACAGCAGATGCAGAAGATTCAGATGCATTACTTGACACCCAGGAACATTTGTCAATAGCACTTAGTACCAGTGGCACCCAGGAACATTTTTTAGTAACTCCAAGTACTAGAGTCACCCCAGAACCTATGCCTGTAAATCCAAACACCAATGTCACTCAGGAACATTTGTCAGGAACTCCAAGTACCAGTAGAACCACATACATAGAAGCTTTAGTTTTCCCCACCAAATGTTTGATTTTCTGATCTTATTGTCAAGAATGACGCTGGTTTATGGGCCACATGAGGGATGAAGAAATTTCAAACTGGTTAGAAAAAATTACCGTGAATTGATCATCAAGTGTTGAATTGACTGATTCACAGTAATTGTTAGATATATTTATCTGCTTGATGAATGACTTGGTATTTATTGAACTAAAGAATCACATGGGTCAAGGAATGGCTGAACTGATATTGAATTTCTTTGAAGAACTTGAAATTAATTTTAGTAAATGCAGGGGTCAATCATATGACAATGCGGCTAACATGGCTGGAAAGTATAATGGCATTTGACAGAAAATTCTAGAAAAGAGTATTTTTGCAAAATTTATTCCCTGTGCTGGTCATTCCCTAAATTTGGTTGGAAGGCCTGCAGTTGTTTCTTGCCTGGATGCAGTGAATTTCTTCAGCGTGGTCAATGAACTTTTTTGCCTTTTCTCTGCCTCTACAAGATGGTGGGCAGTGCTGAAAAACTTCTTGCCACCAGAGTCAAAAGTTCTGCAATATTTATCTGAAACAAAATAGGAGGCTCATTCCAGAGATACAATAGCCATCAGTGAAAGTTATGCACACATTGTTGAAGCACTCAGTTACATCCATGATGATGACACTGGAAAGAGTGATACTAGATGACAAGCTCAAAATCTTTTGCAGAAAATGGAAGAATTTGAATTTATGTTCATGCTTTATATATGCTTGAGCAATTTCACAAAGTAAATAATACTTTTCAAAGTGCACAGATTTTATTGAATATATACAGTTCACTTCTGCAATTTGTTTCCAGCACATGGGAAAATTTTGAGGGGCAAATAAAAACTACTCTACCTGATGGAGAGTACAAAACTTTCCAAAGCAGGTATAGAATGTGAAAACAACTACACACTGATGGCAGTGCCTTAGATGAAATTCCTCCAAGGATGAATTCATTTATTCCTGTAATTGATGTTCTTCACTCAAATTTGAAGAGAAGAGTTACTGTGTATAGTAACAATTTTTTTGTTTTTAACTGATCTGCAAGCAATGAGGGAACAAATTTTCCATGGTGTCAAGAGACAAGAACAAGAATATCCAAAGGGTGTTAATCTCAATCTTGTTGATGAACTCTTTCCACTTGTATGTAAAATAAGTTCATACAGAAAAAGCAATTTTCAGCCACCAAGACATGTACCAGATAATAAAACAGGAAAATATCTAGGCTGCTTTTCCAAATGTGGAAACAATTTTCAGATTGTGCTTGTGTTTGATGGCAATTAACTATTATGGAGAGAGGTCTTTTTTCAGGCTGAAAAGGATCAAAAGTGATCTCCATTCAACAAGTCACAAGAGTAGCTGTCTGGCTTGTGTATTCTCTGTGTAGAGAATGATATAATGCAATTTATTGATTTTGATGAAATCATTGATGAGTTTGCAGTCATGAAAGGAAGATGTTTTGACATTAAATTGCAGTCAGGAAGGAAGACGTTTTGACATTAAATTACCTACTGTAAATGTGTAAATAGTTTTAACAGGGTAATATGAAAACATATGATTATCTGACTGTTTTGTGTAAACAATAAACTTTTTCATCAATCATCACTGTATGATATAAGATTGTTATTTTCAATAAAGTTTAAGATTAAAAATTTTGTCAATCTTCAAAGGTTAAAATTTTACATAATGTTTAGATTTAATTACATGATGTTGACTATAATGACTGTTCTGTTTGTTTTCTTTTCATCAACTTTGACTATTTTATCATGTGACCTGTGTAAGACAGTGTTGGGCAGGTTGGGGCTTTGGTTAATATATAATAGCTTTCAAGTTTGTTGTAATGTAATCTGACCTATAGCCCATACAGTCTAGACATGAATTTGGCCATAAAACTCCCCAAAAACGTTCCCTAATAATTCAAAAATTTGCCTAAAACTTATTAAAAATAATGATTGATTAGGTAACATGTAATATTTTAACTACTAAATTTTCTAAGCATGTATGCTGGACTACCTGTGTAGGCATGCTGAGACTACCTCCTTCAGGGCCCAAGTAAGGGTCCTTATAACTTAATTAGCACATGGCCACAGTTGTCATAAATCCAGGGTTAACTATAGCATGATGTTTTTAGCCTTGACTGAGTCAAGATTACAAATGAAGAGTATCTTGGAATATCAAACTTATTTTAATTATCTGTGCTTAGACATTGCTCCGCATTCACAGTGAAGTGGATTAGACAAGGAAAGAGCGAAGCAGTAAGTGCAGAGCACTTTGTGGTGATTGAAATGTTTTGTGTAATTCAGAAATTCCATATGAATTAACAAGTGTAATTTGTGTAGATGTAAGGGTAAAATAATTAAATTATATGTATACACACACATACACATATATTCTCTCTCTTTATCTCTCTCTTTCTACTTTATTTTCTCTTGTCTCTCTCCCTTATTGAAAATATTAATTTTAATCTTTCAGCTTGAAATTAAAACTAAAATAATAATGTCATAAGGATTTTTAATTATTAAAAATTCATTTTAAACATTAGGTATCTCGTTTTTGTGGAGGCATCTACTTTTTAGTAATGTGAAAAGTAGAATATAGCAATAGTACAGCAAGAACTACATACACTTGAGAAATCATAAAGTTATTCTAGTGGATCTAAGAAGGTTGCATGAATATTTAAGATTGTGCTCTAAATAAAATATGCAATATCCACAAACATAAATTATAAGAAATGGCCAAATGGTAACAATATTCAATCACAACAAAAAATACATGTTTGAAACAACAGATTAAATTTTATATACACAATTTACAATTTCTTTGTTTGCAATGATGTCTGCAAAGGTATATTTTAGAGAAAAAGTTCTTTGCTGTTTTGGAAATGTTCAATGTCTAAAAAGTTGTCTGCCTTTGATTAAAAAGGTTGAATTTAACTTAGACAAAAGATTTTCTATGGAAGATATTGAGTGAAAAAGTTTGTTGTGTAAGTTTTTCTAATCTCTCATAAAGGAAGTTTGCACATAATTCCATGTGTATCTTTCGTGTGTATGAGTCTCAAATGCGAAGAAAATTTGTTTGCTGTTTCTATTTATAGTTTTCTTAACAACAAAATCAGCTCCAGCAAGGCTTGGTAGCTGTTGTGAATTTTTCTGAGAAATGTGTGGGTGAATGTTGTATTTTTTACTTTTTAGCCAATAGGATTTCTTGAAACATTTAAATTAGGGATGAATTTGAGAAAGATTTTTTTATTTTAGTTGAGCCTATTTTTGCACAAATTTTGATTTTTTTGTTATGGAAATTTCTCGAAGTTTATTTTTATTTTACAACCAATGAAATTCAAGAAAATGTTTGAAATTAAATGAGGGTTACTAAATTATAATAATGTATTAATATGTAACTACTACACCTTACTTTCAACCAACCTGCATTTTAATCTTTTAGTTAGTCTAGAGAATTTGATCCTTAACATGCACTTCATTATTATGGTCCTGTGCCAGAATAAACTAAGCTTTGTAGATATATACTTAAATTTAAATATTTAAATTGATAATGGCTTACAGGATTTCAGTATTCTGAAATTAACTATTTTGATATTAATTAACATTTCTAATTGCTAATTTAGCAACATTTGAATAAAACCTACATTTAGTAACTGTTTTTTTTTGTGTGTTTTTTAATTAATTCACCCCAAGCCAAATGATTTAGCCAATAAGATGCAAGAAGCTACTGGGAGTGAAAGAGAATGAAAAGAATTTAGAAGGAACTAAAAACTTAATCCTAAACAGGAAAGAAAAGATAAACCTCTACTCCTGTTAAAAGACCAGAGAGTAGTATGAACTGGAAGATAGATGAACCCATCTACTACTATTGAGAAAAAGAAAATAGTAAATAAAATTTCAGAGTTTATGCAGAGATGTAGACTTTAGAAGGAACTAAAACCCAATCATAAACAAGGGATAAATCTCTACTTCTACTCAAAAGAATTATTGGACCATTGATACTATTTTGGGGTTGTTTAGGTTGGTTGATTTTATGACATTGAGTCTAATGTCAAATTTTGTATGAGCCCCCCCTGTGAAGCTCAAACACACAACTCAGCAGTAAACAAGACCAGCACTGCTAACTATTGCTCCATGCCAAAGTGTCAATGATATTTTGATATTTATGTGGAAAATATGTGGAAGAAACTAAATATTTACAGTATTTAATTTATGTGAATAAACACAGTAGTTCATTATCAGTGATTGTATCCTTTATTCAAACATTTTTAAAATAAAACTATTTGCAAAGTGTTTGAAAATATCCTAATTTTTCTAGTTATTTTAACAAGAGATAAAATGTAAATTAGCCAAAAACATGTCCCATTCTTTTCTGTTTTTGAATTGAAAAAAGTATGATGCAATTAGGAGATTTAGCTTCTTTGTATCCTTGATTTCTTCTGAAGACAAAATGAAAAATGAAAATGGCAATAGTGGGTGCCTCTTATTTTGGAGTGAAAGTGAGTGCCTCCTTAAAGAGCAGTTGTTTGTATATGTGAGTGTTTAGCTAAAACTAAAAAACTACAGTAATTAGTGACAAAATAATATATACAGACTCAGTATCACCCAACCCAGCTTTTTGTAAAAAAAAATGATTGTATAATTTGTATTTGTGAAGATATTTTAAAATTAAAAATATGTAATAATTGCATTAGAATGGATTCAAAATTCTCAGAATAAAAAGGTAAAAATGAACAGGAATAGTTATTATTCCCATTTGTTTTTACTTTTTAATTCTACTGATAATTTCAAAATGCTATATGTATTTTAAAAATTTTCATTCTCTTGAATTTATTTCCATATCTATTGTAAATAAAAGCATAACTTTAAAAAACGAATATTAAAACAACAAAGTAAATTTAAAAGAAAAAGAATATTAAATACAACTATTTGAAAGAAAGCTTTATTTATTCAACTATTTTAAGATTTATTTATTCAAATATTGAAAACAAAAATAAATTCTCATGGATATTTTTTTGGAATTTTTAGTAGCTTTAATACAATCAGATATCCCATGAACATATAAGTCATCTTTTTCAAAAATTTTAATTACCTATTTTACTTTAACAGGTTTACGTTAAATACATGTATTTTGTTTTTATGTTTACATTGTAGGGATGGTAAGTAAATAAATAAGTAAGTAAATTCATTATATTTATAATTTTCATATAATTTTATTTTTACAATATGCTGATAATATATTCTGGGAGGGGCTTGAGTAGAGGGAAATATTAAAATCATATTTATAATACTGTTGTTAATTTGATATGTAATATATTTATTTTATTAAATAGTCAAATGTTCATCTCTAATAATTATTTTCTGATTTAAAAAATATTAAGATTTGTACATTACTCAATTCCCTACAACTACCTGGTATGACACTTTAAAATCTCATTTTGAAAAACAATATTCAGTCAGGTTTTGCTGAATTATTTTCATTAATAAAACTTTAGTAAAAGTTTTATTATCTAATTATTTAAATTAATTTCCTAAAAAATATTTATGCTTTGAAAATATTTAGATCAGATTATAATTATTTTTAAAACCTTTCCTGTTGAATTGTTTGAGAGGGATCAGATTGCTACATGTCTTTTACCATTTTACTGAAATTAATATTTTTTAAAAGTTTAGATATTAAATTTTAAAAATGAATGCAAAGACAAAAATTATTCAAAATATACACAATCATTTTAAACTTGCTGGGGTGGGCATGATAAAAATTTTACTAAAGTATTTAATTTAATTCTCTAAAAGTTATTTATGCTTTAAAAAATACTCTGTTGAATTACTTTTTTATTATTAATAAAAATTTTACTAAATTTAAATTTTCAAAAATATTTCAAAAGTATTTATATTTTTATATTATATTATATATAATTTTTTCTATTGTAGACAGGACATGATATATATATATATATATATATATATATATATATATATATATATATATATATATATATATATATATATATATATATATATATATATATATATATATATATATATATATATATATATATATATATATATATATATATATATATATATATATATATAATTTCTATATATATTAATTATTTATTATATGATGTGTTTAATTTCAGTATCTTTCAGGATGTGTGATTGGTGCTACACTTGATGAAGAAGAAAATGAAGAAAAAAGATCTGATGATGGAGAATTAAGTTTCATTGGTTCAAAGGAAGGATGCTATGAAATAATTGGTACTGTTAAAGATGACATGGCTTTAAAGCCAGATTTTGTACTTGAATTTATAAATGTAAGACAATTATATCTTTTGCTGAATGAAAAATTAACAAGTTTTATGTTGAAACTGCAGCAATTTCTGTTAATTAATTCAGTGATTACAAATTTAAAAAACTTTCAATCAACCTTTTATTTTATCATTCAATATATTGTTGCATTGTGTCATGCATTAACAATAACACTTTGTATTTATTATAGCAATTTTACTAAAACTCAAAATTATTTTGGAAAATCTGTAATAACACTGGTTTCAAAGAAATTGAGGCAAGCATAACATTAGTTGTTCTAATATAATTTTTGTGTGCTGATTTTAGATATGAAATCTGTTTTCACTCAGCACCTCTAGGTTTGAGATATATATGTATACATATACATAAATGCATGCATATTATATGCATTCAAAGCTACCAGATATAGCATCTTTAAGATTTGGTATTCTTTTTTAGCATTTGAAATTTTTAAGAATTGTGTTCTTTTTAACAAAATCTTACATTATGCCCACCTTCAGCAGTCTAGGCTTGGCTCTGCCAGCTGAGATTTATTGCAGTAAAATTCAAATGCTTGGTATGCATGGATGTGACCATATATATGATCAATCTTCATTTTGTTTTCCATATGTTTGTGAGTTAATACATATCTCTACAATGACTTCAGTCACTTCAAAACATCAAGTTTTCAACAAAGCAAATTCATTCTGTTATATATGTGGGTTTTTTATGACAGTTGTACAGTGCTGAACAATTTCTCCTCACACCTGAGAACTGCATACTTTTATTGTTTTGCCTGTAAAGTTGGAGATCAGGACAAATTCTGGGCCCAACAAATCTATTGTAAACCCTGTACAATACACTAATTGCATGGTTTCATGACAAGAAAGCAGCCTTCAACTGTTCTATTGGGCTGTATCTAAGAACTATAAGCAGAAAGACTCTGGTGTCTAGGAGCACTTTCATGCCTGTTAAAAGTAGGGTCAAAGAAAATCCTATGAACATGAAGAAAGTACTTCTTACTACTCTTCATATCAAGCTTAGTCTAATGAGGAATTTCATGATGGTGCTGGGCAAAATTATACTACCTTCCAACATCTGTGCACTCTATTCCCAGATTTCAGTTCTGCTATGCTCAAGGGGTGGGGGGGCATCTTTATTGGACTTTATATCTGAGAAGTGATGAAGGATAAATTATTTGAGGAGCTTCTTATGTACTAAGAGCATGAGAAGCATTTAAGTCAACCTGCCATGGTTTCCTTGGTAACACACAGGTACCAAATTACCAAGAATGTATTAAGAAGTTGTTACAGTCTTATGAGAATGTAGAATGCTGAATGTCACTCAAAATTCACTTTCTCCACTCCCACCTTAACTTCTTCCTTTTGAACCTCAGACTAGTGAGTGATGAGCATGGACAAAGGTTCTACCAAAATATTACTAAGATGAAAAGAAACTACTAAGGTAAGTGGAACCCCAGCATAGTGAGGGACTTCTACAGGTTGCTCCTGCATGATATACAGGACATAAAGTACATGAGATTGTCCAAAGAAATCTCACTTCAGTCTGCTGTATGATGATGTGTATGTATGGTATTATCTAATTTAGTTCTGTCAATGATCTGCATCTATGCTATTTTTGTAATATGCCTTTGTAAGAGATAAAATTCCCACATTATATTTTGAATTTATATGCAGTATAATAAAAAAAATGTGACATGTGAAAGCAAAAAATAGAGGTTCTTATAATGAGCATTTGGTTGCAAAGTAAGTGAAAAAACAAGGATTAAAATTTGAAATTGGGAATATATATAGTTGTTTGAAAGGTGGCAAAAACTGTTCATGTGTCATTCTTTAGTTGCTGTTGGTAAGGAAAGTCATTAGGTGTAAGGTTGTTATAGCTGGAAGTTGACTGATTTCTTGGATTGGATAGGTCTGGAATGGATTAGTCATTGGTGAGGTTTGATGCACATCTTTCTTTAAGATTGAAATTGACATCTGTGATGGTGTTTGATGGGTTGGTGGTTGTGGGATGCCAGTATGTTGAAGTCAAAGTGCCTGGTAAGATGGGTTGGTCGATTGAGGTCACAGTGTTGGGTTTACTTGTTGCAGGGTGTATTGGTTATAGCAGTGGCGACAAGGGATTAGGTATAGATAGTGAACGAGTGAAGGTCTCTGTTGAATTCTGGTTGAATAAAAGATCATCAAATGTGGTCATGGTGGTGACAACAAGGTATACTTGGACTGGGTCAAGCAGAATGTTTCTATTGGATTCTGGTTGAATGTGATATCAATAAGACAGGGTCACAGTGATGACAACAAGGGAGGCTGAAGAGATGGATTGTGATGATATGAAGCTGTTAGATATCACAATGGTTGGCATCAGGTGTCTGCTGGTGTCAAAGTTTGCCTGTCAGCTGCATTCTAAATGTGAAGAGTCGGGTGAGATTAGTGAAGTTTGGGTGAGGTCACAGATGTGATGAGAGAAGCGATCATGATGGCGACAGTGATAGCATATCTGCGTACCAACAAATGACCTTTTGGCCCACAGTTGTGTTGGCTGTTACAAGGGGTTTTCTTTTAAGCAAATCTTGTGGTCCCCAGAGTCATCTGTTTTCTGGTGGGAACATTCATGATTGTCTATTGTATTTTATTGTTTTGTGGACCAGATGTGATGCTTGGTGCCCCTGTGCAGAAAACAGCTTTTTATTTTGTGTTTTGCTTTCTTAGCATTCACATCCAGCTGACATGTAGAGTGAATCAGAAAAAGATCTAATTGTAGTGGAGTATATAACAAGGTAATAGGGCAAAACATTTCAGAAATTTGAATTCACCACATGAAAATTAATAAAAAACACCTTTCATATGCATGCCTCAGAGAAAATCTTTTTTGTAAACCAGTGTAATTAATGTTTGTTTTTAACTGTTTGATAAATATCCTCATTTAATGATGATAATTTCACTAAATACAATAAGTGAATTGATAAAGTTTCTATTATGTTTATGAATTATCAATCATGAATTATTGTATTAATCAAAAATTTCAAAAAATAATAATTTCATAATTATTAAGATAATGCCATAAACTGGTGAAATTCAAATTAATTGGTATTTGTGCATGTAATATCAATTTAACAAGTTTAGATACGGTGATTTATAAAATAATCTACCCATATGATGTACACACAATGTTATTGTTTTGTTATATAATAAAGTTTATTATAATATTGTATTTATATTTTAACATATTAACTAATTTTTGACCTAAACTGCATATTTACCTTGATAGTTTGAAAAAAGTTTATAAATATATACATTTTGTCATTTTATTTCAGTCTGCAACAAAAGATGACCTATATGAATACCTTCTTAGTTGTGATATTATTTTATATGACATCACAAGAGATGTAAAGCAAATTGATGAAGCTGTTTGGGCTGTATCAGGTAATAACTGCAGTAAACATAAAGTGGGGAAACTAATTATAAGATACCCCATATAGATAGCCTGTTAATTTCTAATATTGATCAAAAAACCAGTTCATTATATATCAAAAAGTAGAAGGGAAACAAGAGTAATAGAGCTATTATACAAAAAGTCAAATGATCTAGAATTGTCATTAGCAATTTTTTAGAAAATTTTGGAAATAACAAGGAAAACCAACTAAATTGACTGCTACAATTATATATATATATATATATATATATATATATATATATATATATATATATATATATATATATATATATATATATTTTCTTATGTATATAAAAGTACTTCATTTTGAATTCTTTTAACAATTTTTTAATGCAAGCATGGAGGAGAAACTTACAAATTATAGAAATTAAGAACATGAATAATCTAATAAATAAAAGGAATGAAATTATTTCTAGCTTTTCTCATGCTGATATGCCAATTAAGCATTTAAGTGCCATATGTGATACATACTCAGGCAATCATATCTTTTTTGATCCATGACTGACTAGGCAGAAGATTTTCCTAATGTAGGTTGCCATTTCTTTTTGCAGTAGAATGGCCACCAACCAAGGCTATAGAACCCAGTCTGGCCTGCTATTGAATACTTTAAGAAACATATTTGTATACAATATATATATATATATATATATATATATATATATATAATGTATAATTGTATATTTTTTTATACATGAATCATTGAATGATATGGGCAAGTTTTTTCAGTTTTTGTAGGGTTCTTAAAATTTTTTCTTTTATAAGTGGGTAGAACAATATATTTTGATTTGTTGGATTTGTCAGGAAGGTCTGGGTGGCTGTAGCAACATGTTGATCAACCATCTTGTTCTCCCCAATTCTCTTGCTAGCATCTCATGCCAGTACCTTTCAGTGGGCATATCCATTTTCCTCTCATTTTCTCATATCAGCTCCTCGCGCTGCTGCCATCCAAGGAATAGGTGTTTCATCCAACACAAAACAGTTGTTATTTCTAATGTCACCATAAAATTATTATCTGCCCTCTAGAGAGTCCTCAACTGAGGCCAGAACCCTTCCCATACACCATCTGTTAGTCCTAGCTAGCAGAATAAAATAAGGAGACATTATGTCCAATTAGTGCTGGATGATTCAACTTTGCCTGAGTAGATTTCAGTGCTAGTTTCTAGCTAGGTCCTTATTAACAAAATGAGAAACAAAATAAAAGTAGATTTTCATTTGTTTTCAGTATGTCCTTCAATCTATCTACTACCTTCTTTGCTTTTGTGTTCACTTTCGATTTAATTTAAACCTTTTTTCTTTCTTCAAATTATCAGCATTCTTACAGTGTCACATATGATATGAAAATATATACAGTTGCTTTTTTTTATAAAAATGTGGCATGAAATGAGATGGGAGGGGATGTACCCAATAATGAAAATAAAATACAACAAAACGTTGAAGCTAAAATATGTTAGTAGCACCTGTTCATCCCACAGAAAATAAGAGTGCCAAATGTATTCTGCTGCTAAGTAGAATCAAGCAGCTCCCATGCAAGGAAGAGACAAAATAGATTACAGAGTGGAGAATTATCAAAGGCTGATCCAGTCATGATAAAAAGTGGTGAGGACAAAAAAAAACAAAAAAAACTGGGGAGGTTGGGTATCTTGATATGCATCATAACAAAAGAGAATGCTAGGGACAACAATTACTCACATTAACTAGATAAACAAGAGTTTGGCTTAAGAAGGGTAGAAGTCCAGCAGAAACCATCCTGTTGTGTTACAAGGCAACTAAAAAAGAAAATCAAGACAAACCAATTCACACAAACCAAGCTCACTGCTTTTACCCATCTTTTGTTAAAACCTATTGATAACAAATGCTTTCTATCAGTTCTGATTTTCATCTTGAGCTGATACTGAAATAAACCTGATGAGAATAACTTTCATATCGTAAGATTCCCTCTATCTTTGTTGTCCAAATCACCATCCTTGCCATTGCTAACAGCATCAGAAACATGGGTGGGGGGCACATATGAATGTGAGATCAATGGACACCAAAATGTTTGGGAGTGATATGAGCCATCATCTCACTGATACAGTCCTAGAATGGGTGCACCTAAGGACAGACATAGAAAGCATGCACAGCCATTTACTCCAAAGCAAGATCACACAAATGACAGTCGGGCATATCTGTTCAGTCCATGTTATTGAGAGATAGTGCATTCTGGATCAATTGCCAAGTGAAAACTCAGGGTTGCTGAGATAATTCACCAATGGCAACCAGGACTAGAAAGAGCATAGCTCAGTCATCAACAAGCCAAACCACTTACAGACCCCTTCCACTTGTTCCCAATACAATGTTCTCCCTGGCTGTGAAAGGTCACTGGACAGTAGAGCAGCATAAAAGACCATTTAACACTCATGGAAGTTTCTGGGGCTTACAACAGCATTCAGCTTCATCATTGCTTTGAAGCCTTTTTATATCCTGTATCAGTTTTACAATGATAGCTGATTAAGTTATTTTTAAAAAATGTGGGAGTGCTGACAGGATACAAGTATTTTTGTGGTAAAGTTCTTTCATTGTTTGTTTCTAGAGTGGCAGTAATTATTCAGTGAATGAAGCCTTTGGTAAATTCTTTGTCATTATGTCTATGAATTTTAACTATTGCATCAGTTAGAACTCCTTTATGAATCCCAGTTGTAAATTTTAAGCCAAAACTAAAAGCTTCCAGTTCGGTATTGGATTTATGATATCCAATTGATTTTCTGTTAGAGGTTTGGTATGTATTTCCATTTCTATTTATACATAAGGTGTTTATAATACATTGTAATTTGTTTTGATTGTGTCATATATTTTATCATCTGTTGTAAATAAGCCATTTCTGGTTTTGATATAACATTCTTTTTGTAGAGTTCTGGTCTAGCTTTTAAAAATTAATTGCATCCATTTCTTCAGTAGATGATTTTAAAATAATCATGTATAGGTTGGAAATATGTCTGGGATATTCTTAATATTTTATGTGTACTTCGTGGAATGACTTTTTCCTCAATGCATTTCAGTAAGAATTTTTTTCATTTATGAAAAAACCTTAAAAATCCATATTTGGTAATAAATTCATTTTGATGAATATAGGTATCTTCAGCTCATCAGACTGATTACATCTGAAAATGTAGTCAGTTTGTGCTTATATTCATCGAAATATTATTTATTACTAACTATGGCTTTTGTATTTTTTTCCTAATACCTATTATCAAAATTGTCTCTGTATCATATTATGGACTCTCATATGGACTAAAAGTTAAAATTTGTATTATTATATATATATATATATATATATATATATATATATATATATATATATATATATATATATATATATATATATATATATATATATATATATATATATATATATATATATATATATATATATATTTTATTGATTGTGAGTTTGTGACCCTGGGTTTTATAATATTTGTGATTGTCACACAAACTGATTAATTTTAAATTTTGGATTCATATATTGTTGGGTTTATCAGTGTTTTTATGGCACTTGGAGGAAAAATTGTCATTGGAATGCCAAATATACGTACACAGACATACATAAACACACGTTCATGCATTGCAGCTCACACAAACATAAACATATATGAACAGCATGGGACTGATCATCCCTGTGTCGTTATGTACATACGTATGCAATTGGTCACTGTATTTAATGTTGGATTGTGTAGCAAACTTCTTTCATAAGTCGCAGTGTCAACCATTCATCTATTTTGTTCATGGAATAATGTTTTCTTGCACACATATATATACATATGCCTACTTTGCCTACACAAAAAGGTAGGAATAATTTCTCATACCCAACAAAAAAAACCTAAAATCAGAAATAATTTTTAAATGCAGACATGAAAACAAATACTTATTATCAAAATTTATACCAAAAAAAATACCAACACTGCTACATAAACCACCACTGACCCGAAAAGAAAAACCACTGACACCATAACACCATCAAATATTTTCTAGTTCAAACTACCTTCATAATAATTATAATTATTGTTATTACCATTTCACCACCATTACTAGAATCACTTCTACCATTTTACCATAACTATTTGCTGCTACAATTGTTATCATCATCACCTGCTCCCCCTACCATTACTACCACATCACAATTACCATCGCCACATTATTCCACAATTACTACCGCACCACAATTACCATTATCGCATCAGTCCACAATTATACTTCCTTCCCCCAGCAAAATTAACACCATGCATAAATACTAATAAGTATTATAAATTGGAGTTTCTACCATTTACTTAAAGGCAATCACCAAAAACAAGCAAATAACTGGCTTTAGAATAATAACAAAACAGCATTAAAAAAATTTAAAATAATAACAATTTTACCTACCATAGACTTACACAGACACCATCTTAAGATTAAAAAAAAACAGATGGTTAAATGTGTGAACACGTGTACATGTGTGTGTGAGAAAACATTATTCCACAAACAAAATAGATGAACAGTTGACACTGAGACTTATGAAAGAAGTTTGCTACACAATCCAACATTGAATACAGTGACCAATTGCATATGTATGTATACAATGACATATGGATGCACATATATGCCCAGTCCCACATTGTTCATATATGTTTATGTTTGTGTGAGCTGCAATGCATGAACGTGTATGTATGTATGTCTGTGTATGTATGAGCATCATTCCAACAACAATTTTTCCTCCCACTACCATAAAAACACTGATATACACAACAATATGCAAATCCAAAATTTAAAAATTAATCAGTTAATCAGTTTGTGTGACAATCGCAAATAGTGTGAAACCCAGGGTCACAAAGTCACATCAACCCAACTAAATATGTTAGCTCCATCACTGATATTGAGTGCTTTCCAATATGTACCACATGTATATAATATATAAATAATACATATAAAAATTGTATATATATATATATATATATAT